TGCATTTAAAAGTGATGGTATCACCATGAAGTAAATGATTGAAAATGAATAAATAAATAAACATTATTATTGTTGTTGCTTCTGTTTGCAGTTGATGAGTAAAATTGGTAAGAGTCGTCATGCTGGCACAAGTGGTCATGGATCAGCAAGTAAGTGGAGAAACTCTGCGTTGAGCGAATCGAGTGACGATGAATTTGACAGGTGTAAGTGTTTGGGCTTTTTAAAAAATTTTTTTTTATTAATGTACAATGCTTAAAGGTGTGACTTTGGTTTCATGTATGGATTTAATTTTTTTCCTATTACCCTTTAATGCCTTAGTTCTTATGGAAAAAGCCACACCCCAAGCTAAAGCCACTTCACACAAGCCACGCAGTCCTGCAAAGACAGGCAGGTATGAAAATGTTTTCATGAAGCATTTTGTCTTTTTCTGATCTAGATTTTCTATCTGATTTATCATTTCACACTAATGACTATATTATGATATAACTAAAGTATTTAAAAAGCACTTTTATTATTTTCAGTTCAAACATTGTGGTGGTGAGCTCAGATGATGACAATACTGCTTTTGAAACATGTAAGTGCTAATGTCATTCTTCTGGTTAGATTTTGTCTATATATCCCACCAATACAATTTTTGGATATTTTATCTTTGCTCATTGAAGTTCTTCAGCGGGCAAAAACTCCCAATACCAAACCCAAGAAGACATCTAAAAGTGGCAGTGAGGACAGGTGAGTCCGATGAATTTTTATCCACCACTTTTATTTCCCGTCAGAAGTAAATGTTATTTACTGCTAAACATTTTCCCCCTGGGTTAATTTCACAGCCTCCATAATTTTATAGTTGACAACTACTCATCAGATGATGACTTTGTTGAGCCAAAATCATCTTTCAAAGGTAATTTTGCTGTTGTTCCTCACTTCCAGCATGATCCCAAATAATGTCGGGAGATGTCACATGCAACAATAAATGACACAGCCTTCACATTTACCTACCATTTGATCCCGGGAGGAGAAACAAATCCCTTTGGAGTTGCATCAGCAAGGCAGCCTGTTGTGTTGCTTCTAATATAACAGTGATATTGATTTAATTCATTAATGGGGAAATGAGCTAAAATCTCATCTTGGGAAGTTGCACCTGACTGATCTACGGCCTAGATTATCAATCAGTCACACCTAGTTGTTTATGCCTACGTGACAGTGTTCACTTGCTGTGTGGTTTACAAACCGGGAGAGGATTATTCTTCACTTTGCAAATTATTTTCTGGTTGTATACAAAGCTTTTGTTGATGTATCAGGCGTCTTGTTTTTTCTAATTTCCCTGTTGCTGCTTTTTTAAATATGTGTCAGATGCATATGTAAAAGTCTGTTAATTTATTTATTTTTGTCTCAAATTTTTTTGTAGTTACTAAGAAGACCAATACTCCAACATCCCAGCCTCAAACAAGGCGACCCCTGTCTCTGTATAATTCACCTGTCTTTGTCAGCGATGATGAGGATGATGATAATATTGTGCTGAAGAGCACTTGGAGAACCCGTCACACGAGGCCCAAGTCACTTCCAAAGACCAGTGAGAATACTCCTCCTCTGTGCAATGACGATGAAACTTCGCCGTCACTCCCCTCTCCTCCTGCTCTGTCTCCTTTGTGTCGTCCTTCAAACGGAGCTAAAACATTAGTGATCTCTCCCAAGCGCACTTTTTCAATGCCTTCCAAGCTGGATGATTCAAGCAGTTCTGAGGAGGAGTTCACATCCCTGCTGGAGAGACTGAAAAAGAAAAACAATTTCATAGGGAATTCATTCCTGCCGAACAACAGCAAAGGTACGGTAACTGCTTAATTCTGAATGTTTGAATCTGACAGTCTTTTGTTTTTTTTTGTCATGCTCATATCTCTTGCTCTCCTTTTTCCAATTAAATTTAGAGAGCAATAAGGAGCCTGCTGGGACAGTCTCAGTTCCTTCTGTATCCCAAACACCAGGCTCTAAATCATTAGGTGTGAAGACACCTGGAAAATCATCGATCTTGAAGCCAGCCGTCAGTCAGAGCGAGCCGAGACACGGTCCAACCAGCAAGTGCGTCTAGTGGATGCACTAATTGGGCACCAGATAGTGAGCCTTTTCCTTTTATACACGAACGTTTGTCTTCATTTTGCTCTGTTTGCTTCCCTCTAGGAATGTGCTGTGTAAGACCCCGGGCTGCTTCCTGCAGTCGCTCACAAATCCCAGCTCCAGCTATGTGGGCAGCTTTAAGCAGAACAAAGAGGCACTCACAAGTAAACTCTACCACCTGTACAACACCACAGTGTTTGAGAGTAAGGTAATGAAGAGTCATTGTTTACTAGACTGTTTTCCATTTGAAATTGAGGAATATTTAATTTGATGCACGTGACGTAAAAGAAAATCTCCAGACTTTGTGAAATACCCCTTGCTTTCACTGGTTGCCTAAAGTCTATTGGCAGCCATAGTAGAACCACCATCTGTAATATATTGTGTGTTATGTTGTTAGACATAAACAAGTCAAGGATGGGTCACATATTGAAGCTGCAAAGCTCTCTGGTTGTTTTGTGTAGGATAGCTGTTGTGCTAAATGATAAAATGCTCACTAATGAGTTTCAAGAATGAAGATATGAACTGTGAGCAAAGGCCGGAATCTCCCATGCAGTTCTTTCAATATTGATGTACAATTTAAAACTCCAGTATTCTTTTTATATTATTATTATTGTAAATTAAATATGATGAAACGCTCTGCGTAAAGAACGAAATATTTATACATTGCATTGTTTAATGTCTTTGCTAACAGGGTGAGTTTTTGTTTTCATTTATTTCTAACTTTCTTTCTTTTTAGCTCCCTGCGAATATGTCAGTGACCTGGAATAAGAAGATGCGTAAAACAGCTGGCTACTGCGTTACAGGGCAGGAAAAGGGTGGAGGAAACCGCTACGCCCGCATAGAACTGTCAGAGAAAGTCTGTGACTCTGCAGGTAATGGCTTACTAAGGTCCCCTAGAATTATTTGCTTGTCAGGGAAGCTGCGACCTTGTGGAGCTTTAGAATCTCTTACTGTGCTGTTGTTCCTGAATATGTGCGTGCGCATATATACGAGGTACCTCGTCTTGTATGACAACATTGTCTTTGTGCTTCCCTGCTAGATCGTCTCAGGGACACACTGATACATGAAATGTGTCATGCTGCAACATGGCTGATTAACGGTGTAAGGGACGGGCATGGAAACTTCTGGAAGCTCTATGCTCGCAAAGCAACACTGGCACATCCGGAGCTGCCGATGGTCACGCGCTGCCACAGCTATGACATCAAGTACAAATTCCAGTACCAGTGCACTCGCTGCAAGAACACGTATGTAAACCAAAACCACTTACTCCATTTTATGAGTCACTGTGTGTTTCCAGAGCGTTTGAGCTCATTTCAGCCTGATTAATGTCTCTTTTTTTTTTTTTTTACTGTGATTCCATATAGGATCGGCCGTCATTCCAAGTCACTGGACACGCAGAGATTTGTGTGCGCCCTCTGCACTGGTCAGCTTGTCTTGTTGACGCCTTCTAAGCCACGTGCTCCCACGCCTTTTGCCAACTTTGTCAAGGAAAATTACTCGAGTGTACGACAGGAGCTAGCAGGACAGAGTCATGCAGAGGTGATGCGGAAACTTAGTGCAGACTTTGCCTCGAAGACTAAACTGAGTCAAAGCTGAGCCAGTATGTGTCCTTTACACAGGAAGCCTATGAAATATCTCAGTCAGATAGTCTTACATTATTGAGCAGCTATGATTCTCAATGTTTTTTTTTTCTGTTTGTCTGTTGATCATTAGAGTTGCTGTAACTGGAAAAACTGAATGAATAGAAAGTAAATGTTTCTGATTGTGTGCTTGTGTAGATGATAGCATCAAACAATGTCATACTTAATAAGTGACAGTACCATGGTAAATGTCTGATATGAGCCTTTTAATGCTGTGCTGGTGCGGTTTTTTTTTCGTTTGTTTGTTGGTTTTGCACCTTCAAGTCTTCAAATAAAGTTTAATTCTTTAAGATGGTCAGCACGTGCGCTAGCTACAGCCTGAACACAATGCTCAGTGTTCCTCTGCTCATTGTCATCCCGCGCTCCCCATCACTCCTCAGACACACTCGGTTCTTGCTCCTCATACACCTTCTCCTCTGCAATAATCTCCAGGTAGGTCTGCACATTTTGATTTTGGATTTTTTTTAATTAACCAAACCCTTCTTAGATATTATTCTCACAAACATTTGAGCTAAATCATCATAATCAATGCTTTTTCAGCAACTCATCAGGACAATCAAAGCAGTTATTTTAGGATGTGGGGAAGATTTTTCTGTGACCCAGTTTTTGATCTTGGGCGCTACTAATCAGGCCTTGTCATTGGTTTGTAAATTCTATATTATATTTGTACAGTTCACTGTTTGTTAGTGACTCACAATATACACCATTTTCTACTGTCATTTACTCTGGAGAACATCACCTGTTTATTTTATGTATTTTGTTTGGAGGCCACATGACAACATACTGTTTTGGATAGGGATAGGTGTTACTTGGGCTTAACGCACAACCAGTCTGCATATATGCTCACTGGCCACTTGATTGGTTATCTGTTCAGCTGCTTATTAAAGATCGCATCTAAGTACTCAGACAAATTGCAGCAACCCAATACACTGAAGCATAGTCAAGGTGGCCTCCTGAAGGTCAGACTGGCCAGACTGCTTCAAGCTGTCAGAACTTCAGGCAACAGTGACTCAAATAATCACTCATTACAACCAAGATATGCAGAAGAGCACAGAACCTGTCAAACCTTGAAGCAGAATGGCTACAGCAGCAGAAGACCGCATAGTATCTGTGTTTAATAGCATCAGAAAAAAATACATTCAAGGTTTTATGATGCAACTTAAAAAAATTGGAGATAAATCCAAAGTCGAGCCACTCAAATGAGCAATGCTCATTTAAAAATAAAAGTAAAAATAAACAGGACACGAGGACAAATTGCTTCAATGGGTTTAATTTTAACTGAAATACTGTTGTGCTGTTTATATAATTCAATTCACAAGACATTATGTAAAACATTCAGGAATATTGATGATAAAATACGCACAAAAGCATGACAGAAAATATATTAACAATCCCTTTAAGACAATGTGACCAAAAACTGTACATAAAAAAAACAAGGACGCAGCTTCTGGACCTGGAAAGTGAAGCCAATGCAAACTGACTTAAGCCTGCATTTCCTTCACAGGCCACTAGGGGCAGCTCTTGTAGTTCCAAAGGTCTTTAAACAAACTGCTGTAGTACTTATTTGACCTATAAGCTAAGTACACAGCTTCTTCACTAAATAAGGGTCTCAGACACATGTTTCACATCAGCATGATGCTATTTTGATTCTTCTTTTTTAAAACTGTATTAGTGCAGGTATACCTATTGGTTGACAACTCACTACTATATGGTCAAGCAGTGTTGTTGCTTTCACAGTCACACCCAGGTAATGCTGAGTTTAACTCTTTAAGAGTTAAACTCAGCGTTGCCTGTTACCTGTTAAAAGCCTACTAAGAGTAACCCTTGAAGCTGTTTTCTAAACTGACTGTTTTTTTTGTACAACAAAATGACTGTGTGTTGGTCAGAATTTAGTGAGGGGGGTGTCTGCAAATGCAACTACCCTTGGAAACTATTTGAGCACTAAAGGTGGTCAAACCACACCTTTATTGATAAATACAGAGTTGTCAAAGTGGTCATTAAAGGTACGGGGAGGCATTCAAAGGTCATCTTTATGGGTGAAAGAGTTATTTTAAAAAAAAATGAAATGGGCAAATTGTTCAAGTGAAAGCTTCTAAACAAGGTTTCACAAGGCTACATCCATGTTTTATTTTACACAGCCTTAAGGCTTTACACACCGGACGCATAAAATCTGTGCGAATATTTTGTTGGTTAAAAATATTTTATGAGAGTCACCTATTCTTAATGCAGTCATTTATATGTTTGAAACAAGCTCGATTTTTTCACTTGGCAAGAAGTGTGCTGTACCTTGAATCATGCACAGTACTGAATATACAAATAGTTAGATAACAGTATTTTACCTCAGACACTGCTCTGGGTCAGTCGGCTCTCTGAACACGAATGTGTTCCCAACTCTGCCAACAAGAGCTCAAACTGCCCCATTGACATCATGAAATATGTCCGGAAGCAGTCGTGATACAGCTTGGATGAACCCAGAACTTCCCAGGACCGACTCATCATCGCTTGATGTTGGTTTTGAGGACGAATTTTCCGCAAAAGTTTGGAACAGAAAAAAATTCTAAATTTTATGTCACTTTTTTTAAAATGCACTTGGTGTGTAATGGCCTGTAGGTGTGGGATCCAAGATGATGGTGTGCTAAGAGGCAGCTTCCCTGATTGTGAGAATTACCCCTTTAAGAGGCACAGGCACAAATCCACAGGCAGCACGGAGATGAGACAGAGCGCTCTCCAGTCGTCAGTGGTTAACAAACACCTTCACTGCATTGCAAATTTTCCCAGGAAAACCAGTATAAAAGAGCCGAAACATGAGACGGTAATGGGAGTCACCAGTATACGAGAGTGAACAGACACTGCTAACATAATGCACAAAGTATCACACAAAGCGCTGGAATGTACTACGTGTCACTGTATTGGTGCAGGCACGATGAATAACCTCTATAATATTATCAATATATATCCTTCATAAATGAATGCAGCATTCTAACAGGTAAGAGGGTGTACTCTTACAGTTTTGGCAGTATGTTGTCATGTAACTGAAAGAAGGGTGGTTTGGCATTTTGCTAGACTTTTTGTCCAAGTCTTTAAAGGTTTTGTAATGATTGTAGTTTTTGAAGCTTAAATGTCTTGACTGATTTAAAAAAAAATTATGGCACTATACAACGATAATAAGGTTTTGTTTTCTGGATAAATGGATGAGCAGCAAAACACCCTCACTGATCCAGCCTGGTCCACCCAACCTTAATGCCTTTCATTTGCTTCAGTACAGGCAGGTTTTTTTCATAATGCGCAGGAACTCCTGCTGGTTCACTTCCCCATCTCCATCCCTGTCCGCTTCATCTATCATTTCCTGCAGAAACACACAAAACACGAGGAAATGAAAAGAAGAACTGAGAGATGGAGAAAGCAAAACAAGCTGGCTTGATAGCATTCATGAGCAAATGCTGTGTTGACATTATTCTAAACTGCCTTCACAGCCTTTGGCTTTGTCAACACAACCCACCAGCTAGATACAGTAATATGCTTTTGATATTTTATTATTAGCTCTTTTATGCCATGATGTAGAGCCTCACCTGCAGCTCTTCATCTGTCAGGTTCTCCCCAAGCTCTTTGGCTACCCTCTTCAGATTCTTGAATGATATCTTGCCCGTCTCGTCGTCATCAAACAGCCGGAAAGCTTTTAAGATCTCCTCCTTAGAGTCCTTTTCAGCCTAAAATTAGAGAAGAGGGAGAGTACTTTACTCCGGACAATACAACTCTTTAGTAACATAGAATTAAAAGCAATGCAACACATGTCTACCATTTTCTGCGTCATGACAATGAGGAAGTCTGCAAAGGAGATCTTTCCTGTGCCATCCTTATCAACTTCACCTATCATCTTCTTGATCTCCTCTTTCTTTGGTTCAAATCCCAGAGCTCTCATGGCAACCTGACACAGAGTAAGAAACGCAGATATTCAAAGCATACATAGGTAATTATCCTTCCTTAGCAGCGGCAGGATAAATTATGTATCGTATCAGTGGGACATAATAACAATTAATCTGGTCTTTAGCCGGTCTTAAAAAAAGGTAAAAAAAAAAACTTCAAATAGAAGATTGTAAGGTTGCTTCCAAACAGAGTCCATCACTGTGCAATGAGAATGAGTATTTACCAGCAGAAAAACATTTTAAAAAATGAACTTATTTTATCCCCTTATATATTTAAGCCCTTTCAAAATAGTGAACAAAGTCTTTACTTTGGGTCGATAGTCATCATTTCAGTTTAACTTAAATAAATTTGGCTAAATGAAGCACTAAATGATGAGTGTGCCAAATAACTATATATGCAGCTAACTGTACATGTAGACATCAGGGCATGAGATATTTTACCTTAAGCTCCTTCACATCGATGTATCCAGAGCCATCAGTGTCAAACAGCTCAAAGGCCTCCCGGATCTCCTGCTTCTGTACCTCCGTCAGCTCTGGCTTGGGGGCTGTCTTCTTGCGAGGAGGGGGCACCGGACCCTGCAGGGATGGTCTCTTGGCAACGGTTGCCTGGTGGTGGGGACACAGGAGGAAAAAATATAAAGTATTGTATTCAAAACGTGTTTTCCCCCATACCTAACCACTGCCGGTTTACAGGTTATACCAGTCAGATGCCACAAACGAACACGGAATTACGTAATTTCTAAATAATGAAATATGTTCACTCACCATCAGTTGCTCTATGTGTACCTGGCAAATCTGGCTGCAGATCTTTTAGGCCAATCACTGTTTTCGTCTGGGCTGTGACGCTGTCATTTTGGGAAGGGGAAGACAATAAAGCGGTTTCCAGTTTACATCACTGCTTTAATGACACCTAGTCTGGGAGAAATATGTTATACAGTAAAGCATCGTTCTTATTTCGCTGTAACAGCCTACCTGCTAAAATGTGGATGAAAAAAGAAAAGCGCAGGCGAACCAGCTTGTGTCACGAAGCGGATGTTTGATTTGTTTACCTTTTGTGCCAGCGGACAACCAGTGGTTCCTGGACGTGGAGGAGTTAGAGAAAGGATGCACGGAGGCACAACGAGAAGTAGAAATCAAACGCAACAGTCGGGAAAAAAGCTGATTGGTTGGTGAAAATCACGGGGTGCTTTACGGTAACAACATTCACAGCGGCGCAGAAGGTGTGCTACGGATAGAAGCTGCTTGGAGATAATGTGGAGATCTGAGAAGTCATACCTAAATAGATATGATGTCATTTCATTATGTAAATGGTGTGATTCCTCGTGGTAATCAGTTTAATTTCCTCCGTGCTAGGGATTCAGAAACACACTGAGAGTCTAACACAGTCTGATGAGACAATAAATCAAGTCAAAGTCAGCTTTATTGTCAAAAACCATAAGTACAGATCATAGACAGGAATTTGAAATTGCAATGCATCCACGGCCCCCAGTGCACACTAAAGAACATAAATTAAAAATATAAAAGTAAAATAAAACGCTTATATACAACACAATATAATACAGTCTTATATAAACTCATCATTGCTCACAATAATGCACAATGATAATAATAATAATAAGGGTTAGCACGACGTGGAAAAAGCATAATCTTCTCCAGAATCAATAAAGAAGAACATGAAACGAGAAGTTATTAGTCCAAGTTATATGGCGTTTAATACTGCAATTAGAAGGCTCTTCTTATTTTATTTATATATCTATTTATTTAATTTTTTCTACACACTTTTCTACACTCTGTGATATTTGCATCATATGTGAGCAAGTTATTTATGCTTAAGCACAGATCTTGTAATATATGCACCGAGATGGTGGAGATCTGTGCCAGAGATGCCTGCAGGATCAACAAATTAATCCACGAGGCTGGAAGCATCATTGGCCTGAATCTGGATGCGCTGGAGTAAGTGAGGAGCAGAGGTTCACTGATATAGCTGCTCTCAGTCACGCACAATCCATCATCCCTGCTTCATTCCACCCAGCAGACCCAGCAGACCTCATTCTCCCTCAGACTTTCTGAACCCTGCTGCCATAAAGAACGCTTCAAGAAATCAATTCCGCTGCTCTCTGCAAAACTCACACAAACACGAGTCTGTATTATACCTTCTTGCTGTTGTTTCTCAGACTCACTGTGTGCATATTATTTATTCATGCTCTTTTGCACGATCTCAGTTTTATATTTTTTTTTCTTTAGCGTCATTTTTTCTATTCTTCATTTTTATCACTGTTGTATACAGTGGCGGTCCTAGCCTGTTTGGCGCCCTGGGCGAACACTCCCTCTGGAGTTTTACGATTTATTTTTGGAGCAACCGTAATCCACATTATTTCCTTAGGGATTAATAAAGTATTCTGATTCTGATTCTGATTGTTTCAGGATGACCTGCCATTATCCAATGACACATCTGCTTTCCTGTATCTTTTGCTCGTTTCTCTTCCTCTTCTTTTCTCTTTTTTCTAAGCTGAGCACCTGATGACTTTGAACTTTTCTTGTCCATCTTCCATTGGTTTTAATTTTGCACTCCAGTATGAACACAAATCCCCCAACCCGAGGATCACCACAACATAACCTAATAGACCTACACCTTAGTTCACAGACTGGCTTTGTCTAGGGTGAATTTCTGGGATTTCGCACAACCCAGGATTCAAATAAGGAATACATAATGGGCTTGGATTTACATCATTATGAATGAAATGTGCTCTATTTGGAAGCAGCCGCCCCCCCTCCCTTTTCGATGGGTTGTGTGTGAGACTTTAAATCATCAAACTGTAAATTATACATTTTAAATTGTTATTGATCCCTTTACTCCTGGTCCTAAAGTGTATATTTATTTTCTTACTCTTCTTATATTTATTGTTTGTTTACTTGCACTGCTGTAACTGGAGCCTCGTCGTATTGTCTCTCTATATACTGGACTGTATGTAGCAGAGATGACAATAAAGTTTACTTTGACTTCAGCAGCGAGCAGGCGCACCGAGGACTGCCCGTGTCGCCCCTATCAAAAACCGCTACTGGTTGTATATGCCAACACGCCTCACATTATAAAGCCTTCACTCTGCTTGCAGTACTTTCATTTTTGGCAGTTATGTAAGCTCTGTTTGAGTGGCTTGTAGAACAAAATGTTTGAAGTAAGGCTGAGATGGTTTGGACATGTGCAGAGGAGAGATAGCGGATATACTGCAGAAAAGATGTTGATTGTTGGGCTACTAAGTATCAAACATCACGATTTTCAAGCTGGCTCCTTGAAGTTAGATTTTCAAGGGGCGTGGTTTTTGAGCTGGCGGACGGCTGAAATAAGCTTCTGCCCCCTGATTGGTCAATGTGGTGGCGTTCTTTGACGTATCCCAAATACTACTGGCTTTTCGCAAGGGTCAGCTTCGTGACTTGACCAATGAGAGAGCGGTTCTCTCTCAGCTGATTGAACATTTCAGGTGGGTCGTGCGCGGTTTCCTTGGGCTCGGGTATATGACACAGGAAACAGTGTCGCATGCTTCTTGTACGAAAAGTCGTCACATTTATCTTGTCTGCGCTGAGCATCGATTTTCTCCACGCAAAACTTTTTCCCACGCTGCCTGAGACCCACCACGGTTTACTTACGTGTTGGTCACTTCTCATTGGTTTCCCATGGCTACACGTGTGCGACCGGTGAGTTAAAACATCATTATCAGCCCAGTTGTGCTTTGATATTTTATATTCACTTGTGCTTGTCAGTAATCGCCCCCCGCTTGTTTTGATACAGAGTAGTAAACGGTGTGCGGTCATCGGGGGGTCCGGTTTCTTGGGCAGACACCTGGTGGAGAAGCTGCTGGACCGAGGCTACTCTGTTTCTGTGTTTGACATCCGTCAGAGCTACGAGCTGCCCGGCGTCACCTTCTACCAGGGAGACCTGTGCGACAAACAAGTGAGGCTGCTCTTTCAGATCTCTGAGGGCTCAAAGGTCAAAAAAGAAAAAAAAAATGGCTAGACCACAAAATATTGGGTGATAATCGGGTTAAAAGGCCTTAAATTATTGCTTATCGGGTCAGTTTAAAGAGTAAAGATTTCTTTAAGTGCAATTTTCTAATTCATTCTTGCACCAGATAACAAAACTCCTTCCCCAGGACAAACAAATGCAAACCAAATTTCACCAGGTGTCTGCTTTGTTCTGCTCCAGGCTCTGCTGGCAGCTCTGAAGGATGTGTCCTTGGTCTTTCACTGTGCCTCTCCATCGCCTGCCAGTGACGACCGTGCTCTGTTTGAGAGGGTCAACATCCAGGGCACACAGACTGTTATCCAGACCTGTATAGAGTCTGGAGTACAGGTGAGGGAGAGCATTTAGGTGCCTAAAGTTCACTCTTTAGAGAATAAGAGAAGACAAAGTGTCTTTAATGTGCAGTTTTGTTTTGTTTTTTTCTTTGCCAGAGGTTGGTCCTGACCAGCAGTGCCAGCGTGGTGTTTGAGGGGACTGACGTTAAGAACGGGAGAGAGGATCTGCCGTATGCCAAGAAGCCCATTGACTACTACACAAAGACCAAAATTGAGCAGGAGAAGGTAGGCAGGAACGTAGGAGGGTGTATTCGAGTTTGTTGGTGTGACTGGCAAGGCCCTGTAGTTGGCACTGTAGCCCAAAGGCAAGAGAGAAATTTTTATTTGTTATTTTAAACCAAAATAGGAGTGAAATGAAGGCTCTAATTTCCACTTTTTGATGCAGTCAGTCATACATTTTAGAGAGAACAGGAGAAATAATAAACTCTTCATTTGCATTTCATTTGAATGCATTTACAAGTATAATTTAGCCTCTTGTTTTCTATTGTCACATTTTTAAGCCTCATCTAGACTGTTTGTATCTGTACAGTTAGATACATAGAAAAAAAAAACCCTCATCTTGATAATGGCTGAACAGAACAGCTGGAGTAATTATGCAGATTATGGAGATGCAAATGTTATTAAATATATTAAAATAAAATGGATAATTTAAGACAAATATAACGGCATAAGGAAGAGAGAAAAACGAGAAACAAAGACCTCACAGTGGATTGTGCATGAATGCATAAATACACAGATTTGTGTATTGTTTCCAATCTGTAAACTGACTCATCTCAGCAATATTATGATGAATAGATCTTTTTTTGAATTCTCAACATATTATTTGTTCCATCTGACATATCTTCCTATCTTCATTACTCAGTTGTTATACAATGGAGGGCCACATTTGAGCCATCTAATAGTATACCTCTTTTTCCATCCATCTTCTTCCACTTATCCAATTCACGGTCACAGGGGGCTGGAGCCTATTCTAGCTGTCATAGGGCGAAAGGTGGGGTACACCCTGGACCGGCTGCCAATCTATCACAGGATTAACACCTGAAGACAGACAACCATTCACACCTACAGCCAGTTTAGAGTCACCAATAGGGCTTTGGAGCGTGTTGAACCTAACCTGCATGTCTTTGGACTGTGGGGGGGAAGCCAGACTACCCAGAGGAAGCCCATGCAAGCCCACAGGGAACTGTAGCTTGCCTCCACCAGTGTGTGAATGTGAATGAATAGTGGAATTGTTAAGCGCTTTGAGGGTCTCGAAAAGTGCTATATAAATGCAATCTATTATTTATTATTATTATTATTATTATTATTATTAACATGCGAACAAATAAAAATTCCTACTAGCCTACTTCTTTTGCTTTTAAATGCATATATACATGCATTCTCCACATGATCTTGTTGCATTATTTTGTTAAGATCCAATATTTAATCTGGTAACATTTTAACGTTCGAGTTAATGGTTTCTATATTAACGTAAGTTAGGTTAAAAACTGTTCTTGAACCATCAGAGCCAATTCAAAGAATTCAAATCTAGTCACCGCTAGAACAGCTGCCTTATGGAAAAACAGGTTTTTGGCTTGGGTGCACAGCCTATGATACCTGACATCTAAATGATGAGGTTCAAAAGCACATAGGCTAAATTTTTTTTTTATTTTTTTAATGCGTATTAGTGCAGAGAGAGTCCAAATGTTACATTTATTTCCCTCCAAATTTTTATTCCTTAATTCTTGTTTCTTGTCCATTTGCCATTCTGTGGGTTGTCTGAGAAAAGTGAGGCCTGTAGGGGCTTAGAGCTGA